CAAAGTCTGCATCAGTGATTGTGATAGTCATGACTTATTGTGAATAGGTAATTTCACACTGTAGTCTGACATCTTTGTGTATATTGTACTGTAAGTGTTCAGATGGACATTGAAGCAGGGATTTTTGTTGTGTATGTGCACATGTTTTGTCTGAAGATGTATGTGTATGTTTTTTTGTTTGCTATGACTTGATGTGACATGACTCATCTTTGTTAAATCACTTTGTAAATTCAGTCTCAAGAAAAGTGGTTTGTTTATTAACTTTTCTTATGTATTATTTATTATTATAGCAGTTCCCAGGCCTGAAAGCTCTTCCTCTCCTGTATTTGATTGTTGGGCCGGTTTGTGGAATCGTTCTCATTCTTCTTTTGCTTCTTTTGTATCGCTGCAGACCTTCCAAAGGTTAGAACCTCTTCTGTTTTATCCTTTAATTATTCAAACAAACATATACTGCTCTCATAGAATAGCACTATTACAACTTGCAATACCAAATGATAATAACAACAAATGTTTTTTATTCCACAGGTCCATGCTGTATCATGTTGGTTGAACACTCTCTTCTCTCATTTTGAACATAACAACAATACATTACATGTTCTTATTTAAATGTGTTGTATTTGGTTTCCATGTTGTAGGTCAAACCAGCCTGAGAGCATCAATCAGGACTCCGACACAAATCATGTGGTCAACCAGAATGAGACTCAGCTATACTCCACTCTTCATGGTTAGCATTTAAACTAATCATATATATATTTGTTTATATGCATTCACACCTTTAAAGACACAATTAGAAATAATCAGAGGATGTTTAATTAGTATCATATGTTTAAAAAGATGAATCTGCTCTGTAGGTGATACGTCCCTCCATGAATCAGCTGAAACGCCCTGAAGACATTGGGAACGGTACAGTTCATCTTTTTTATTACACAATGGCCTCTCAAATCTAAGTGAACATATTATTATTAGGAACAAATTCATTGATGTAGCAAGTATATCCTGTTGTCAGTGCACTGAATAAGATTTATCAAAACAAGTCAGGATGTCCAGCTAACAAAAGTCTTAAAACAGGTTCAAATCACTTAAAATAATATTGTTAGGTATTCCCTCCTCTAGATAACAAAACCTCACACTGGCAATGTCCATACAGAGCTTTTACCAACCAGGTTAACACTGATATATATGATCACCTATTTTGTATAAAACACATTCATATCACAGGATGTTTACTTAGTATCATGCAATTAATTTGATTAATCTGAACTTTCCACTGCTCTGTAGGTGATGATTGTATCTATGAATCAATCAAATGCCCAGAAGACACTGATAAAGGTACAGTATACAGTAACAGCCACTGGGAATCAGTGGGTCCACCACTTTGGTCCAGACTGTAATATCTCATCTTGTACAGGCTTCATGTCCCACAGATGATGTCTCCAAATTACTTGCTGATCCCCTGGCTTTTTGTCTGATGCTACCATAAAGTTGACCTTTTTTTTTTTAATGAAATGTTTCACTGATATTTCGATTGCATTGAATTTGTAGGCATATATTATTGGCCCTCAGAGGATAAATCTCAGTGACTTTGGTGACTTTGGTATTTTTAACAGTAATAAGATGGATTCAGATTAAATTTAGTACAGACATCCATGATCCCCAGAGGATCCCAATGTGTTTGGTGATCATCTGACTTTTCATCATCAGGTCAACATTTCAATTTGACCAATCATTTTGTGTATGACCAAATACCTGCAAAAATAATGACATTACAATCAGTGATGGATGTACTTTGTGTCTAGCACTAATTGTGTGATTGTGAGCAAGTAATTGGTTATCACAATTTTCCTCAGTCCAAAATTCATCCATAATGCACAAGTGTGTCCCATTTTATACAATTCTACAAACAGAGCACTACCGTCAGAATAGAACATGGTACATCCATATTCCTGTCGTCTTTAATAAGATGAAACTTGGTACACAGCTTCTCCATAAACAAGTGCACAAAATGTTGAAGCATGGCATCAATACTGTCACCCTGTGGCCCTTAATGAAACTCCACCATATCTCTTCAACGTGTTGTTCAATTACCACCGACTTTCAGACTTTAGATTCAGATGTGAATCTCCAGCACTTCTTGCTGTTACTCTGGGCTGCCAAGCAGCAGCATATTGAGCAAACACACACATTTCCTTCAGGAAATTAACATTTTCTGATTAACAAATGAAAACAAATTAACATGTTAAGTATGCTAAGATGTTGACATCGGTATTTCTCCTAAAGTGCCGCTGTACCTGCAGCATTGCAAGAGTCTATATCATTGGGACTTCAGCATGTGAATGATTACTCATTGCTGCACCATAGATCTACGATAGGTACTACTCTGCATTATATATTTTCATCATCAGAGAGGGTGTAAACCATCTGAAGCACTGCTGTTGTCAATGGAGTGTGACAGGCTGAAATAAGATTGTCATACAAGCTAAAACTAAAACCTGAAATAAAATGTATTTGTCTTGAAACTAATTTCACCCATCCTCAGATCAAGTCTGACTATTTGTTATAAATGCTGCACAAGCTAAGGGAGACTGATTATGTGTTACTGACATAAAACCCTCTAAAAAATGTATATTTTAAATGCAGTCTAATTCATGGATGCTTCGATTGAACATAACAACATTTGAAAACAAAGTGAGTACTCCAAATAATAACAATGAATAGAAAATCATTTTGAGATGTTTTAGCCTGAAGTGCCAAAAAGTATTGATTTTGTTTTCTGATTATGTTAACAGGGAAGCAACATGAACCAGATGAGAGCTCTGTTTACTCTGATGTCAAGATAGGAACTACTGTCATGCTCAGAGTTTGTATTGAAATCATCACACAGGAGGTCATTATGGGTCAGCATGCAGTTCAATTGATGTCACCTTGGGTAGTTACTACATACTACCACTAGGGTGTCAGAAAAGTTTAAATTTGAAAATGTTACACATATATATGGCCTTTTATACTTTAAGTTTATCTGTTTCATATGTGATTGTTATTGCTGGTTCTGTGTCATTTGTTTCCAATATATTTCTATCATACAGATATGACATGAAGCTAAATTGTTTATGTCTTATTGGTTTTACTCTCTCATCATACAAACTGCATCATGCATTATATTGTACTAGTGTGTACTTCTGTGCTACATGTTACTGTACAGTTGTGAAGAAACAAAAGGGCATTGTGTGTTTTTGTTGTTGGCTTCCAGGTCTGTAAAGAGATCTTTATGGACAAAGACAAAAGGTTAACATTTTGTACACTTTACAATTTATTAGCAGATTATATAAAATATAAAATATCAAAATAAATAATAGATAAAATGTTATATGGATTTAATTACTTTAAGTACTTTAAGGGAGAAAGTACAAGACGGCTGAGGCGTTTTCCCATTTAGTATTTATGCACTGTATTATATTTTTTGTTTTCACATTTTTTGCCATAAACATCTAACGCAATAACGCAAGCTGTTTAAACAGTTTGATACAGTATATTTGAGCTTATTTATCATTGTTTGTATTTTAAATTTCCACATTTGCGGACAATATTAGATTATTGTCATTTTTGTTGTTTCTAATATCATCAATGCTTTCATTAATCTTGTCTTAATTTCTCTCTTTCTTCTTAACACAAAAACCTTTAGCAGGTTCTCTTTGTTCTTCTTGGTTTGGAGGGAAAAGAGGGAAATCAGATCTGTAGGGTGGAGCTATATAATCTTGGGGAGTGGTTTAGAGAGGAGTGGCAGTGATGCAGGTGGGGAGGAGACATGTGATTTAACAATTATTGTTATTAGTAACTGCTATTGAACAACATTTTATTACATACATGTTTTCCCTCTGTCTTTTTGCAAATCTATTTATAGCTACTGTAAGTAATTTACTTTCACCTGAAAATGTTTTCTATTTCTTATTTTTATGATACAATGCATCATTAAACTATTTTTTTCAACAGTTGAGTTTTTAATAGTTTTTTGACACATGGGCAGCACTATTAAGGGCTAAATACCAAAAAATTATCACTGAAAAAATCAGCCACTTCACTATCACACTACATTGATCTGAGTTTAGTAGCTGAGCCATGCCATTCAGTGCCCACACATTGTTATTCATTGTTACTAATTTGGCTTCATCCTATTTCTTATTTTGAACTCTTCATAGTCTTTGACTTTTGTCCCAGCAAAACATATTATCTTGCTTTGCTCCATTCCCAGGGTCCAGTTCCTGGTAGCGACATGTTCAAACTAAACAACTGACTAAGTGTTCACATCCCAGTACTGCACTAATGATTGGTTATTTTTCATTATAATAAACGTTTCAAACACTTAGTTGTGGTTTTAACAATGCTCACCCCTGCTTAAAGAACGTATTTAGGGTTAAGGGTCCTAGGTTCTGTTAAAGTGCCATTGTTGGATACTAAAAGTATCTTTTGATATTTATATCCAGTCATTTTAACCTAGCGTTTATCACTGGTTGACGCAGCACATCTACATGAGTGCACTGAGACCATTGACAGTGACTGAGACTGATGCATGGCAGCCCTAGATCTTGTGGTCTGACTGTAAATAATTATTAATACAGCACATGTACCTACATACATAATATACAATTGTATATCCATAATGAAGGCTTTGCTGCGTACATATCTCTGCATAGACTGATGCTTTGAAGTAGCAAGAATTTCTGTCAATATCACACTAAACTAAAAACTTTTGTTTAAATGAACATTATCAACCACAAATAGAAATGCTCTACTCTAAAAAAAAAAAAAAAGCAGGAATGTCAGTCAGTCAATATACCTCGCTAGCTTTTCCCACAAACAACCACCAGGGGGTGGTGAACTACCTTAGTTGATGCCAACAACATGCAAGTACTGCAACTTAGTCTGGGACTATAGAGCTGGTGTAGTTATATCCATGATGCCATGTCAAAGTGTGAAATAACTCTAAATGTGTTTCATATTTTAGATTCCTCAAAGTAGCCACCCTTTGCTTTGTTGACAGCGCTGCAAACCCTTGGCCTTCTCTCAATGAGCTTCATAATGAAGTCACCTGAAATGGTTTTCACTTCACAGGTGTGCCTTGTCAGGGTTCATTTGTGGAATTTCTTGCCTTTCTTGCCAGTTTGTACACAACTGACAGCCTTATTTGACAACTGTAAGAATTCATATTATGGCAAGAACCAATCAGCTAAGTAAGAGAAACGACAGCCCATCATTACTTTAAGAACTGAAGGTCAGTCAGTCCGCAAATTGCAAAAACTTTGAATGTGTCCCCAAGTGCAGTCGCAAAAACCATCAAGCGCTACGACAAAACTGGCTCACATGAGGACCGCCCCAGGAAAGGAAGACCAAGAGTCACCTCTGCTGCTGAGGATAAGTTCATCCGAGTCACCAGCCTCAGAAATTGCAAATTAACAGAACCTCAGATTAGAGCCCAGATGAAGCCACACAGAGTTCTAGTAGCAGACACATCTCTACCTCAACTGTTCAGAGGAGACTGCGCGTATCAGGCCTTTATGGTCAAATAGCTGCTAAAAAACCACTACTAAGGAAAAGCAACAAGCAGAAGAGATTTGTTTGAGCCAAGAAACACAAGGAATGGACATAAGACCAGTGGAAATCTGTGCTTTGGTCTGATAAGTCCAAATTTGAGATCTTTGGTTCCGCAGAGTGAAGACAAAGGGCCAACAGGTGCTCAGCATCTCTGGGAACACCTTCAAGACTGTTGGAAAACCATTTCAGGTGACTACCTCATGAAGCTCATCAAGAGAAGGCCAAGAGTGTGCAAAGCAGTAATCAAAGCAAAGGGTGGCTATTTTGAAGAATCTAAAATATAAAAGATGTTTTGAGTTATTTCACACTTTTTTGATTACTACATAATTCCATATGTGTTCATTCATAGTTTTGATGCCTTCAGTGAGAATCTACAATGAATAATAGTCATGAAAATAAAGAAAAACCATTAAACTGACTCACATGAGGACCGCCCCAGGAAAGGAAGACCAAGAGTCACCTCTGCTGCTGAGGATAAGTTCAGCCGAGTCACCAGCCTCAGAAATTGCAAGTTAACAGAACCTCAGATTAGAGCCCAGATGAATGCCACACAGAGTTCTAGTAGCAGACACATCTCTACCTCAACTGTTCAGAGGGGGCTGCGCGAATCAGGCCTTTATGGTCAAATAGCTGCAAAAAAACCACTACTAAGGAAAAGCAACAAGCAGAAGAGATTTGTTTGAGCCAAGAAACACAAGGAATGGACATTAGACCAGTGGAAGTCTGTACTTGGTCTGATAAGTCCAAATTTGAGATCTTTGGTTCCGCAGAGTGAAGACAAAAGGGCCAACAAGTGCTCAGCATCTCTGGGAACACCTTCAAGACTGTTGGAAAACCATTTCAGGTGACTACCTCATGAAGCTCATCAAGAGAAGGCCAAGAGTGTGCAAAGCAGTAATCAAAGCAAAGGGTGGCTATTTTGAAGAATCTGAAATATAAAAGATGTTTTGAGTTATTTCACACTTTTTTGATTACTACATAATTCCATATGTGTTCATTCATAGTTTTGATGCCTTCAGTGAGAATCTACAATGTAAATAGTCATGAAAATAAAGAAAAAACATTAAATGAGAAGGTGTGTCCAAACTTTAGACTGGTAGTGTATGTGTTTTACACATGCTTGTCCCTAGATAGATAGATAGATAGATAGATAGATAGATAGATAGATAGATAGATAGATAGATAGATAGATAGATAGATAGATAGATAGATAGATAGATAGATAGATAGATAGATACTTTATTTATCCCGAGGGAAATTCAAGTATCCAGTAGCATACATTAAACATACATTAAACTAAAATTAAAAACCCTAACCTTAAGAATAGAGTTAAAAATAAAATAAAAGATAAAATATAAAATATTTACTCGTATCTTTGACTCCTTCAAAGCTAAAAATATTATCCTGCTTTGCTCCGTTCCCAGGGTTCAGTTCCGTTCAGTTAACGTAACATACATGTTATGATGGTATGAGAAACTGGAGCACCCAGAGGAAATGGGATGTTCATTTTGGTAATGCTATATGAGGGACTGCCTTCAGTGAGACCTTATCTTTGTGGAAGCTTTTGGATGAACACACGGCTACTGTGAACTATTAATGTCACCCAGTAGTTTTCCTTTTATTTTAAGTTCAACTGTGATTAAGGTTGTTCAGCTCTGGTGGATCTTGAAAAACATTTGGAAAACATTCTGCTGTTACTGTCACTGTCCAAGGTGCTGATCCTGGGCCCTCCAGGAATGCTGAAACTGTACTGGTAATGACGTCTGTTTATAATTAATAAAGGGCCTACCTGTCTATAGTAATGTTATATGCTTAGTTTCAACATTTTTACATTAACTTTTATTGTTTTTATTGTAATACTTTTTGGTCATTTTTGTTGATAATTTTTGTTTGTGTTAGTGTTGTTATGTGAAGCACTGTGCTGTGTGAAAGGTGCTATATGAATAATGATGAGTTGTTAAAAACTTGGTTTCAAGTTTGGCCATGACTTCATCCACAGGAAGTGACTGAGCTCGGTTAAACTAAAATAGGCTTGTGAACAGAAGTCAGTGTGAAGAGAGCCAAAGTATGACATGTTTGTTTGAATTGGTCTGGTAGTTCATCATCTCAAAGATGATCAAGAGAAATGCGAGGTACCAAAACTGAATTTTATAGGACAGGTTCTCATGTCAATGTGATATTTCAGTTTTTAATATTTAACACATTTAAAACAATCCTGTTCTTGTGTTGTCATTATGGGGTAATCAGTGTATATCGATGAGGGATAAACTTACATTTAAATGATTTTAACATAAGGCTGCAATATAACAAAATGTGAAGGTAAAGGGGTCTGAATACTTTCTG